GGCAATATGGACCCTGGTTTCTTCGAGTTTCAAGGCATGGAGGACGATGACGCACAAGCTCTTCTCCTACGAGCTGCTCGACTATCTGAACCTTGGGATGCAGATTCTTCCTCGTGGGCAATTAAAATCACTCGGCAACTTGGGTTTCTCGCACTCGCACTAATCCATGCTGGTGCTGCTATACGAAATGGCTTATGTACCCTGAAAGACTATCTATCATTCTACGATAAGAATTGGGAACGTATCCGACGCACTCGCAGGCTATCAATCGATTCCGAAGATCGACGAGATGATTATATGAGTGCTCACGCAACATATGAAGTCTCCTATAGTGGCATTGCAAGAAAAGGGACCGAGTCTTCGGAAGATGCCATACAATTACTTAAGATATTTTCCTTTTTATACTTTAAGAACATTCGATTTGATATCTTAAAGAAGGCAGTGATTAACTGTGAGATCGAGAGAGCTGAGCAAGAAAGGAAAGATCGACAGGAGGCAGAACGACCATTGACCTGGCATCAAAAATACAAATCCATGCAGTTGGCCGTATTGAGTTATTTGATGCAAGACCGGAGCCCGCCTGCGCTGCCACTCTCCATTCGAGAAGGCAGAGCTTCCGGTTTTTTCGACGAGGTACGAATACGCTACGCACTGAGAGAACTCATACAAATGTCCTTGATTACCCACCATGAGACCAGTGACAGTTATTCGATGCACCCCTTGGTCCATAAGTGGGCACGGGAAAGACCAGACATGAGTGCATCAGAACAGGCTGTTTGGTCACAAGCGGCAGCAACAACGCTGGCCCACTCTATTCTTCTTCCACCCCTCGGGGAAACAGAAGATGATGAAATTTTTCGCCGAGATATTCTCCCCCATATCGACCATGTACAGAAGTGCCTGCAAGGAGTCAACGACAAAATAATTGCTAACAGGAGACAGCGTTGGTATGGACTACTAGATTGGCCAGGAGCCGAATCGAGGTTTGGCCGAGAGAAAGCAGTGTTATATGCAAAATTCAGCATTGTATTTGCACAGAATGGACGCTGGAGTGACGCCGAATCGCTTCAGCTAGCTGTTAAGCGGTATGCAGAGGGTGTCCTTGGCTCGGATCACGCTGTCACCCGTCGGATAACGCTAGCTTTGGCCCTAACCTACTGGAATCAGGGACGAGGTGATGAGGCCGCAGACCTGCAAGATGCAGTTTTGCAGTCCTGCATGTCATCCTTAGGTCCTAACAACCATGAGACATTGATGGCCATGGACCTTCTTGGACAGGCAAGGTGGCAGCAAGGGAGGTATAGTGAAGCAAGAATGCTTCAACAACATGCCGTTGACGGCTTAGTCAAAATCCGAGGTCCTCGCCATGAAGATACCCTCACCTTCATGGGAAACTTGGGTCGGACTCTTACGAAATTCTATGAAAACTTGGATGATGCGAAGCAATTGTTAACGCAAGCCCTTGATGGAATGAAGGAAATTCTTGGTCCTACTCATCTGAAGACATTAGCAGTTAAGGAAGAAATAGCCATGGTCAACGTGCAAATGGAAAAACAATTGACCCAGTCTGCCACGATAATTGAGGAGGTCCTTGAATGCCGCAAGGAGAAATTAGGCAAGGAGCACCCATATACACTTCTTGCCATGGTTAATCTAGCGCGAGTGAATATTGCCCTAGGGTTCTACGATGAAGCAGAGGCACTCGTACGAAAAGGACTAGAAGTTGCGGATAGGAACCTCGGTCGCAAGCACATAGGAACCTTGATGGGACGGACAGTATTAGGTGTCATTTTGACCTGCCAGTCTCGATTTGATGAGGCAGAAGAGACTTTGCTTGGGGTGATTGAAAACCTGCGAAATCTCTCATCCTACCGAGGAGATTTCCATCCTGACCGTCTAGGTGCTATGATTGAACTTGCCAAGTGCTATAAGCTACAAGGCAGATACGATGAGAGCATTAATCTCTGCGACGAGACTATTAAGGGACTGAGCAAGATAAGCTTGAAAGAGCATCCACTTGAAAAGAAAATGAAGAGATTGAAAGTGGAATTGATCGAGATGAAAAAAAGCAATAAGGAACGGGAAGCAACTAGCCATTAGAATAGCCACAGATAAATCAATGCACTGTATAATGTACAAGCAAACTAGCCATATTTGTTAAAAATATATAGTCTTTTAAGATGTCGTGGGTGTTTCGTCATATAAAGTGCAAAACTAAAAATATACAATTTAAAGTTTTAAACTTTCTTGGGAGAGCACGGACCACTCTCTTTTTATCGCGGAGTTGAAAATGACGAGAAATCCAAAGAGCATCGCAACAAGCGGTTGAATATCTATGTCCATGTTATGCCTCTTGAAGATGAGGAGATGAAACGACAATGCCAATATGCATAGAGTGCTGTTACCCTGTTTCCCACCTTTACACCTCATACAGCAAGGCCGATGATCGTGCTTTGGGCAAGGGAGTCCGTCTAACGCAATGTGCACGATGTCAACGATTTGCGGATAAATACGTCGAACATGACTTTGTTGTGCTTTTCATTGATTTAGTTTTAATCAAGCCGCAGGTAATACGCCTCAACCGTCTCCTGTTTTCGGTATCTTTTCTCATCTGACCTCTGCGGCTATAAGGTCTACAGACACCTGCTATTTAACAGACTTGGACGGGATGATGATAAATTTGATGTAAGGACATTTGACCCCGCTGATAGATGCTATTAACGATGGTTATTTACTGATAGCTGGGACCTTATTGCAGCGCTCTATTATCCGTCTCGGGATCCTGATCCTCCTTTTCGACGTCTACCTCTCCTGGGCGCGCATCGAGAAGTCCTCTGCAATCGCCTCCTCACGGCTCGGAAACACCCCAATAATAGTACAATATGTATTTTTCCTCACACTGAACGCCCTCGCGACCCTCGCGCACCACGTCACGGTTCGATTCCTGGCCACGATTCTTGTTCTGAAACCTGCGACACAGTCTCAGAAGGCCCATGAAGCTCCACAGCGTGCGAATACTCTCCCGTCCTCGCCATCTGACGCTTACGCAACCGGAAGCGCCATACCAGCGCAGTTTTCAGCAAATCCCAACTCAACAGGTGGATCAAGCACTGCTGACCTGGCTCGATCGTCGTCTGGTAGTGATACTGTTGGTGATGGGGCTCAGAGTGCTACACCGTTACCTACGCTCTCCGTTGAAACCGACTTCCCTCCGCTTCTCAGACGATCGTCCACTGCACCCCCACAGATACGCCCAATCCCTCCTCCGGCGCTCGCTAGTCGAAATGCAATAAGCACAGCTCTCCTGGTTAGCAGCTGTACCAAGCTTTTCCCGATACTGCTTGTGATATGGGGTACGGATGCGTCTGGGGAAGCTTCAGGTGCATTGGAAACGTCATTCCCACCCACTGGCAGCGGTGAAGGGGAAGCTGCCTTGAATTCTTCCATATGGTCGTCGCAATCTCTCCAGTCAGTTGTCCAGAGTACGCTCTTGACCCTTGCCCAGCCGTGGTCATCACTTCTTTTGTCCGTGACAAATACCCACCTGGTGCTATTAAATAATACCGAGGCTTTGCTTATTCTCTTGGATTGTGGCTATACTTATGCCATTGCGATGACACTTGGGGGGCAATTAGCTAGATGGGCTGTAGAAAGGTGTTTCCTAAGCCTTGTAGGGCTGTAATGTGTAATATACGGAGCTTATGAATGAAGATATGAAAATATATTCGACCCAACGGCAAAAAAAGAGTGACGTCAAGACGGATGAAGTAAAATCAGAATGTATCCGTAATGTGTACTCTCTTGGGTATGGTTGTATATAAGAATACCCATGGAAGAAAAATGATATTACCCAGTGATATATAATGCTACAGTTCCTCATCAAAAGGAAAATCTGTGAAACTGAAAACGAAAACCGCTGAAAGAAAAACCCAAGGAACTATAATAATATCAACATCTCAAATATCCGCATTTGTTCATGGATCAATGGGCGTGGTGTGGTCTTCGATCACTGCTCTTCGGTACGAATAAGGGGTGTAGTTGCGCGAGGAATGTTACGGCTGTGATAATATGCATTAGCACGGGAATATGAATAGCGTCAATAAGGCCGGAGGGCATAACTTACCCCACATAAGATAGCAGAATGTGAATCCAAGAATCAACGAACTTCGCCATACCCTGCATATTCAATCAGTTAGCCATGTAACCCCCAGAACGCAGCAGCTGCCTAGCGAGAAGATTGTGCGTATATTGCCGATAGACGTATACACCGCAATGTCGATAGCTCTGTAGCCAGTCTGATATAGAGACATGAGGAAATAGGGCGATGGAACTAACGGTCTAGTTTCTCCCTTTGGGCTGAATACCCATGCTAGCGAATTTGCAAGGACGACGAAAACGAGTCCGATGATGACGCTCCAGCTAAACGACACAAAGTAAGTCAGCGCAAATGCTCTTATGAAGGACCAAGGGGAGGTCATGTCTTTTACCCGTTAGCCATATTGTCTCTCCTATGCTTGTCAACCTCGATGTCCTCAGCTGGATATGTTCCGGGAATCGTCAATAGTCAAGAGTCGGAAATGGGAGGCTGCTCGTGGCAACGGAGCAGAAGGGAATCCTCGGGGACGCAGCTGGGAAAAACAAGCTCCCCCTTGCGTGTATAAAGATGAGCTCCGTGTGAAGTGAGCGTGCTGGCTGCGGTGTTCCTTGATGCTTGATGCTGTCCGTGAGCAGACTCTCCGATGATGAAGTTGAGATTACATAAGCAAATATACAGGCCAAAGCTTATCTTGAGCCTCTGATTGGCCAGGGCAAAGCTCCTGTTTTTGAGGTTCGATATCAGTTTTCGACTACTATCTCTACGAAGGTACACTCTTTGGAGTGATGACCTTGTACTAACAGACTACTCTCTAGGAGTAAAAGAGAAAACATCTTATCTGTGGGGTATTAGAAGTTATTGCATTGTCTATTTTCTGTCTAGGTGCGAACGCGTCTCTGACCGTCTAGCTGCAGGTCTCGATCGGCTCGAAGTATGTCATCATGATTCCCTCCAACAATGGCTTCGCGACGGTCTTCAGTGCGGCGTGGGCCTTGCAGTCGTTGTCATAGAATTTCATGTCATCCTCGGAGGCAAACTCGGATACGACGGCGAGGTTGAATCCCTGGCGGCGCTGGTCCTCGAAGGTTGATCCGGCCTTGACGGAGAGGATATATGGAGCACCATCCTAGAACCATGCCGACTTGATTAGCCATGTCCTCCGCTGATAGTTGGACGATTCGATGCACCCAATGGAATCAGCATGACAAATCGGCCTCTCCCTCACGGCCAGAAGCATGAGAATGATGCCCAGTATGTCTTACCTTGAGAGCGTCCTTCTGCATCGTGCGGTACAGAGCAAGGACGGTCTTGCGGTCCTCCTCCTTGGGGATCTTGAATAGGGTGACGCGGCAGATCGTCATGGTGACAGAAGTGTATGTGTGTGTATGTCTTGTGTGTGCTGTTCTTCCTCGGGAACTCTGGCTATACGGCGTGGCCAACGAAGCTGGAACGCAGGAGTTGCAAGCTGAAATAGATGCTCTCTTGTCGCTCTTGTCTCTTCCCCTCCTGCTTTTCCAGCTATCGTGACCTTTATCTTCTCCCCCTCGATGCTCCCTGCCTGCTTACCTACTTGCTGCTTCGGAAAACATCCGCGATACCGCTTATTAACGGCTTTGGAGGGAGCCTGCGTCACGTGGAGAGACTCTCCCCCGAAATGCAGAAACCGGCAAACCAACTACTTTGACGATATACACTTGGACGTTGATACTCTTATCGATGGCGGCGGCGGCTGTGGCCTGCGATTGTCTGTGGAAGAGATGGCTCTTAGCATATATGACGAACATACTCCGTATATTCGGGAAATGCCTAGAGCTTGGAGGCCAAGATAACCTACTCTATCTATGCTCAGCCAATCTTTTTCGGATTTAGCCGGTGGCTGGCCACGAACCTGCTAACCGGCTCCCAGACTCTCTTGCCACTGTCTAAGATGTTCAGGAAAAAAAATATGGCAAATTACGTCCACAGACTCGTTCTGGCAGCAGTTCCTAGAAATGTGCTGGAGGAACGGACCGTTGCCATGTGAAACTGAGCCCTTTTGCCTCCTCCGAGCAGTTAAGCTTATAGCCTGGAAGTTATACTCCGTACGGAGTAATTATTTTGACACTGGTTTAAAAAAAAATAGGGAAATAATAGGGGAAGAAACACTCCAGCTATCAAAGAAAGCGAGCAGGCTATGTGGTTGATGAACAAATACGACAGGCCGTGGTCGTCGTCCGCCCTGCCATTGGGATATCCGGACGTCCTGGCGGGCAGCCTTGTTCTACTTAAGGGGGATCCCTGGGCTATATGTTCCTGTCTACCCCATATATATAAGTATAGACTCTGCTGGGAGCCGCCACCTAAAACGCAAAAGCTCCTCGCCCGGACGCTGCAATGGAGGTTGCCAAAGGCTCGTTTCTCGCTCCCCCATGGCCCTGAGGGAATTACTGAGCACTCCATATATGTAAACGTAATACGAAGTGGTAGTGCACGATGATCAGGAGCTGCCGGAGCGACAAGTGGCCTAAACCGCCCTCCCAGGATCCATCGCTGCATGTCGATGCCTGTCGAGTGCCAATTGAACAGCGCCAGCAGATCTCGCATGTCCCAACGGCTTCTGTCTTCATCCCACATAAGTAAGTATATAGTAGCTAGCTGCACAGAAATACTTTTATACTTAAATCGATGCCACTCTTGCTTTAGCTCTGCGTCCAGTGCATCCCACGCTTCCTCGTCCTATCAGCGTTCCTCAACCCCGAAAGCCTCCCGGGCCTCGCTGCAAAGAAACGCCGGGCGAAGCTACCAAACTTCCACATGCGTGATGACAGGCCTGGATGGCCACCGTCGCCCGCCAGCGGTTGATCATGGTATTACATATTGTTATTATTAAACGGCTGGCTTCATGGCTCGCCTAGCCAAAGCCAAAAGGGCCTGCTCTGCCTGATTAACTAGCTTTCGACACCGCCGGCGATGACGTTGGAGCTTCAATGGAGCCTCTGAAGGACCCTGGTCCTGGGTGGCCGCAGTAATATAATTGAATTCTCCCTTCTTGCGACAGCCAAAAAGTCGTACGCCTCCCCGTCGCCTTTCCTCTCCTCCGTTCGAGCAACCTCCCAGGCACCGCGAACGAAAGAAAAGAAAGAAAAGAAAGAAAGATACCCCTTGGGAGCAGCAAGCGAGCGTCTTCCATTCCCCCATGCCCTGTTGCGTGCGCCCCAGAGCCGTTGAATCATAGCATTATACATCCATATCCATACAGTAGCTATATATATATATATATATATACATATATATACAGAGTACTTTATATATATATATATATGCTACATTACACGGTAGCGCCCACTGCCCGCCCTCAGCTCCTGCAGCCCTTCCGACCAGCGCCCGGCTCTGGATGTTGTCATTTCAGGACCATGACTCGACGTTTACCATGCTCAATGACCTCGGCCCTGAGCTCTTCCGCAACCGGCCGCAGACCCTGCGCACGCTCTACACGGCCGTCCTCGCGGTTGCGATCTACAACTGCCTGGAGCTCGTCCTGCTCATCTTCATGACATTCAGCAAGTATGAGGGCCTCTACTTCTGGAGCCTGCTGCTGGCCACCGTCCCTGGAGTGCTGACGGACGCCATCTTCCTGCTCATGTACTACTACATGAAGCTGCCGCCGGCGGTCGCCTTCGCCTTCGCCAGCATCGGCTGGTGTTTCATGATAACCGGACAGGCCCTGGTCCTGTATTCCCGTCTCCACATGGTGCTACATAACCGATTGGGGCTGCGACTCGTGCTGGCCATGATTGTCATCAGCGCCATCCTCTTCCATATTCCCGACATCGTCACCGGGTTCGGCTCGATCGTCCCCAATCCAGCCCGACCCCAGTTCGTCCGCGCCTTTCACATCATGGAGAAGATCCAATTGACCGGATTCTCGGTGCAGCAGTTCATCCTCTCGGGGCTGTACCTGTATCTCGCGACCGGCCTGCTGGCCTTTGTGTCCGCAAAGGCCCGTCGCAAGGAGCTGCACCGGCTGATCGCCATGAACGTTACCATCATCATCATGGACGTCGCCCTCGTCGTCTTCGTGTACCTGAACTGGTGGGTGGCGCACGAGTCTCTCAAGCCGTTTGTCTACAGCATCAAGCTCAAGCTCGAATTCGCCGTGCTGCGGACTCTGGTCTCCATGTCCAAGTCGGCATCTGCTAATTTGCCGGATTTCGTCGATCCCGATCGGCTCGAAGGGGATGTCAGGTACGCCCCATCGATACCGATGTCCCGGGTACGACGGCATCGACACCCACATCGGACGGACTCAATGCTTTCAGACGAGGTCGGATGGGACCAGACCAGCACGGCGCACACGACCAGCTCGAGTCTGGAGCGCTTCAGCGCCGCCGAACACGCAGAGGACGAGACTCCTCTCCAGTCCAACAACAACATGTATGTTTTCAATAAGCGATCAAAAACATACCCGTGAAGTTTGTTATGAATATGAAACAACATTTTGCGCAACTTAATTAAAACAAAAAAAGAAACCGTTTGAGCGAACAGATGGACTGACTAATCTACGTTTTTTTTCATTTATCAAGTTCACATTCAGGTAGTCAAGCTTTGAGCGCCAACCACGGCATTTCCTAATGCCCCGGGCGAGAAGGACGACAATGACAATATTGAAACCGACGAAACGCAACGACGGCCATTCACCGCCCCTGACTAGTACAATGGCTTTGAGCCCTCCGTGGTTCGAAATGCTTCTTCCAGAATGTTGAGTCCGTCCTCCAGCTGTTGCTGGGTTATCACGATAGGCGGTGCGATCCTCAGACAGCCATAGAAGCTACCCTGTGAGGAAAGCATAGCAGAAACGCCCAGCTCAAAAGCTCGCTCGGAAAGTCGTCTGCCCAGATCGGTATCTGCCTTCTTCGTCTCACGATCTGAAACAATCTCGACCCCGGCCATGAGCCCACGGCCACGTACGGTGCCAATACAGCCGTATCGAGCCATCAAACGCTCTAACCCCGCGTGTAACAGCTTCCCGAGAACAGCGGCTCTTTCAACCAGGTTATCCCGTTGAATGATCCGGAGTACCTTGAGCCCAACCGCGGCGGGCAAGGGGTCGTTGACGTGGGTGGTATAGAACAGGAAGCCAGCGGCATCGGCCTCGGCTGCTATCTTGTTGCTGGTTATTGTCGCAGCCAGCGGCAGGCCGTTACCAAGGGTCTTGCTCAGGGTCAGGATGTCTGGGACAACTCCGTGGTGGTTTGAAGCTATTAGATCGCCGCAACGTCCCATGCCGGTTTGAGCCTCGTCGACGATCAGGAGCATCCCTCGCGCCTCACAGTGGGCTTTCATGGCTTTCATATATCCATCCGGCAGCGTCATCATGCCTCCAGAGGACAGAACTGGCTCCATGATTACGGCGGCCAGTGATCCGCAGGACTGTTTGTCAACCAGAGACCAACCATAGTCCAGCTCCGTTTTCCAATCATACGAGCCGTCAGCATGGCGGAAGATTGAGCGGTATTCGTCCGGAGCAGGCAGCATGAGGTTTCCCGGCATCTATATATCTCCCGCTAAACGTCAGAAGTGATATGAACAGGGGTGCGACGAAACGAAACGGACTCACCGTTGGCCCATATCCTGCTCTACCATTCCAATACTGAGCGCCGTTAGACCCAAACGTCATACCATGCCAACTCGCCGCCAACCCCACGATCTCAAACTTCCCAGTGACCACCTTTGCCAACTTAATAGCACACTCGTTGCTTTCGCTTCCGGTGCTTAAAAAGATGGCTTTGTCCAGTCCCTCCGGCAGGGCCTTGGTCAACTCCATCCCCAACTCGATCACGGGCGGAGACACCATGCTACTATACACATGGTCCAGCCCGATAGCATGCTTGGTGATAGTCTCGACGATTTCGGGGTGACCATGTCCGATCAGACAGGACATTTGGCCCGATGTCCAGTCCAGCACTTTCTTGCCTGACGCTGTCCAGAAGTATATGTTTTCCGTCCGAGTGACTACCTCGGGTAGGAAGTTGGAGCCATACTTCAGCAGACAGGCGTCGGCGTCTCTGAGGAGGGCTGCGTTGTCGACTTGTTCAGGCATATTTTAATCCCCCTTCTTGGAAACACTGTTAGCAGTCAGTAGTAGCTAATGAATTAATTTCTAATTGATCTTATCTCGATACAAACCTGAGGACGGTAGAATATTTATATAGCTACTATATACTAGTGCATTAATTCTATGACAACTTCGTCAGCCGTTGAAGAACCGAAGCCCGAGAGCCATCCTACAGCTAGTGTGCGGAGAAGTCGCCGGGATTCTGTAGCCAAATTGAGCTTAGAAGCATTCATATCAAAGGGACAAAGAGTGTAGATAGACTTTCAGCGTCTCCAATGGCTGCCGAGCCATCGTATGCATGGTTGAGTTGGGCGAGAGGAGCCGTCCGGCCAAGTGTTACTCGTTTATTTGGTCCATGATACGAAATGACTCAGGAAAGGGAGTGAGATCTAGAATCTAGAATCCTGGGGAAATGCAGGAAGGAGGTGCATGTACGGAGTGTATATATATATACGGATGAACTTATACCCAAGAATCAGGCGTGGATCATTTGATACAGATATAACCAGGAACCTAGAAGATAAGGACATGGGAGAAATAAAACTGGGGTCAAGAAGAGAGCAATGGACCAAAGTACAGCATCTATACAGGCGAGTGAAACTACGAGTTCACGGCGGTACAGATAATAGGGACGGTGATAATCGTAATTATCTAACCGACTGATATGGAAAGGGTAGGAGTTATAGAAAGATATAAATATAGGAGTGTCCTCCAAGCTCTTTCACCGTCCAACTGTTGATTTTTTTTGTTTGTTTTTTCAATGTCATGGGGTATAAGTAGACATTTACGCACCCTCTCGGCTCTTGCGGTAGTTTGCCTATTCATCAGTCAGTGACAATACAAGATAAAGTATCGAAAAAGAAAGGCAGATTATACTTCTTGCTCGACCTGCAGGCCATCAACGATGGGACCAAGTCCGCTGAGAATCTCATAGGCCTTCTTATGGTACTCAAGCTGAGCAGCAATCAGGTCTGCCAAATTGCGCAGTGGCTCAGGGGTATCAATGACCTGCATTTCAGGTTAGATCGGAAAAGTATGACACAGTGTAGTGTGCGACTTACGTTCTTCATTACGCCGACTGCCTCCTCAGTCTGTCCGACGAACTCATCCTCTGCCTGCTCAATTTCGGCACGAGCATCTTCGCTCAGGTGGTCCATGTCCTTGGTAGCACCCTTAGCAGCCTTGGTCGAGTCAAGCATGAGTCTCGAGTTCTCGACATTCCTTCTAGCCTTGGTCGCGAACATGAGGTTGGTGTTGAGGGTGGTGTTCCATCCAGCAAGGAAACGAGACTGAATCTGAGCATCCTGCGCCAATCGAGCCTCTCCGATCTTCTCAGATGCAAGAGCGAACTTCTCTAGGCCAACTGCCAATTGGTCTTCGGTGCCGGGGGTGTTGGCATTGACGATGACCTGCGAGCTAGCAAGGGCGGCGCGGGCAATGGCATGGCTGAAGGTCTTTGGCTGGGGCTTTGCAGATGGCGGAGCAGTCAGGGCAGACTGTGCTTCTCCTGGAGACGAAGCCTGCGAGAGAAGTTGAACCTTCTCGCTGATGGTGCGGCCTAGGTCGTTGAAGGATTCGCGGATGTTGGGTGGGTAGTCATAGGCCTCGTTCGAGTATTGCGAGCTGCAGGTTGAATACGACGGGTTAGCTTGGGGGAACGAAGCACATGGGCACCGCGTGAGCAACGGGTATGCAGAAGAAGGTAGAACGTGGTGAAATAGAGCGGTCCTGCGGGCTCAAAGTCATGGGGTCTAGCAAAACGTACGTGACCTGGAGGAGCTTCTGATGGACGGTCTTGAGCGCATCAACTCGCTTCTCGAGCTCGAGGTAATCATTTGGAAGTTGAGTCTAATGATGCCAAACGGCCATGCGCCGAGGAGCGTATATCAGCGTATTGCTCGGTTATACGTTGTGATGTGGTGGATGGATCAAATCAAGTGCTTTGTGGCAGTGATGGAAGGAAGCAGTACCCTCTCCTCAGCTTGACCAAGCTGTTCCTTGACGTACTGCTGCGTTCGGGCAGCAAAGGGACTGAACGTCGCACTGTAACAAGACTGCTGTCAGCTGCTGGCTGGATCAAGGGGGCGATGGTAAGAGTAAGTAAGAGAGTCCTGCGCCTGCACCGCTGGCCGCCGCGTAGGTGGACTACTTATCAGGGTTGGCCTAGCTGGGGACAACAACATAAATAATACATACGTGAAGTTCTTCCCAAAGGCTTGCACTTTGTCCATGGCTGCGGCAGGGCTCTCCGGCTGGAGCGCGTATAGCTGTCGAAGAAGACGAAGAGGAGCTGGCTGTCGTCTGCCGTCTGGTCGTCCGGATGGATTCGATGCTCCCGGCTGGTGTTTTGGTGGTTCTCAGTTGGTTCGTTTTGGAAGCTCGTGAAATATTAATAAAGAGCGAAAGTCGCAGCAAAAACGTCAGCAGGAGGGAGGAGCTGACTAAGCGGCTGCCTTGCGTGTTTACTTCCATGGTAGAGAGACGGCTAGGGGGGGAGTATTATACGGAGTAAGGGCTAGAGATGTGCATAGGAGTTGCTCTGCTGGTTACTCTGATAGTTACTCTGATAGTTGATTAGGCTATTCAAAAAGTTCGCTGGTCAAACAGGCAGATAACTAGTTAGAAGTATGAGGCTCTGTAGTTCTCAATCTTCCCATCCTTTGCTAGCCTGGAGACAGCTGCAGAGTAACTATGTACCTCCTTAGAGACTTGTCAAAAACTTCAGCTCTGCCCTCCATTAGTGTAGTAGCAGACTTTGACAAGACTCCATCTCCCTATCACTACCAAGCTCTGTTCGTATGTTATCCCAATCTAAAGCCAAGCCAATATTGTAAGCATCCTCCTTGGAGTTCACGCAGTTGGAAAAATTTGCTTTGGAATAGGGTAGGGGCTGGAGATGTCTAAATAATGTCTTATCATGACAATAAACACTCGTCAGTTGAAGGAAGCATGAAGAATATAAGGTATCACTCACCGTATTTGAAGTCCTCGCAAACACTTCGCCAGTAGGATCCTTACCAAATACCTGCACTGCAGCGGTCAATTCTCCCATCCATTGAATACCATAAAATACTACAGAGCTAAACGGTGCTTGTTCCTTGCAGTATTGAGAGCTCAGCACTGCAGATTCCTCAGTGGTCGCTTTCGAAGCAGCTTTGAACGTCTCAATGGCTTGGCTACTCCTCAATGGGCTTTTGTAGCTCGGGGATTCTTTAACATCGATCAATATTCCGACATTCACCTCCGTCTTTTGAAGGTTTCCTCTGATTCTCTTCTCCAGGTCCAAACTGGATCAAACCATGGCCGCGAACGGCCCATGTCCAATTATCGGACCATTGGTCTGGGCTATGGGCAGAAAGTTCCTTTGTGAAATCGCTCTGAGTTCCTATACTCAGATTTGTTTGTTCGAATAGCGATCACTTTACCCGAAAAGTCAGCAGGGAAAATTCCACGAAACAATTTGTCTCGTTGCTCCTGGTTCAGGAATTCATCGTCTGTCGGCACATCCACCTTTTTGGGAGTACTTCGGGTATAGGACCGGAGACCGTGGCTCGTCCGTGAAGAAACAAGGCGTATATAATTACACAGAGCCCCTGCATGAAACGGTAAAAAACGACATACTAGTACTTGGCTTCAGCAGTCGAGCATAGAGACATGTTAGTAAAACGACAGAGCCAAAAGAATAAGCCCACGCTGGTGGCTAGCAGGTTAAAGCTGTATAAAGATAGGCTAGCAGGATATGTAAAAAGGAGAAGGTCGAAAGCTCAAGCTGGCTCTTTTATGGTTTTTTTTTTTTTTTTTACCAGTGAATCCGCCCATCAGGTGAATGGCAGAGCAAGGGTATAAAATAAAGAACCAGGTGAATACACCCAAGCAAGACGTTTATACAAAGGAGACCTAAAAGTAGTGAATGCAGGCTTCCACTTGGTTGTAGGCTACCACCAAGGCGAGCAAACGAGCGGTGCCACTGCTGTAGTCAACAGAGGAAAGGGTATAATAATTAGGCGGCCTTGTTGTAATAGTAAAAGGCCGTTTATATTTATTCGGCATAAATATAAACGGTCTCTTGCAGACGTGGTATAATGCCTGTGTGGTGGCCAAAGAATAGCCCGCAATGTTTGTCAAGTGTTGAAAGTTGAAAGTCGCTTTTGTCTCTTTAGTATCGTCATTAACTAGTCAAGCTTATCTCACCGATAAGCTATATAGACAATCGAGATTTAGTAGGTTAAAGAAAGAGAAGTTGGTAGACTGGATTATTATTACTGGTAGATGTCACTATTTAGATCAGAGTACTATACACGGGTCTATGTATGTTTGACACAAGCCTGAGTTGTCCGTAGTTTGCTGTTTCATGTGCGGCCGTCATCCTCGAGAAACTCCACAAAAGCATAAGAGCATAAGAAGCGTAAGAAGCATAACATGCATAACGTAAAATCACATAGGAGAGACATAAGAGACACAGAGAACAAAAAAAATGAGAGAAAGGAGTGTATACCAAGATGCAAAGAGATAGTAAGGAAAAAAACTGGAAAATGCAGACTGAGGGCTGAGCTGTGAGATGGGTGGTAGATTCTGGTAGATATGCGGGCTCTTTTGTGAGATGTTGAGACTGAGGGAGAGATCAGGTAAGGGTGGCCATCATGGCGCGAAGAAGGCGAGGAGTGGGTGCTGTGAGATGCTTCGTCAGTAAGGACTCTGGTTATGAGTAGATTGGATAGGACATACCCTTGTAGTCTCTCTTGACGACGACCTCTGGTGCGTCTACGGCTGTCATGAGCTCACGCTCGGACATGTGGTGATGGTACGGCACCAGAAGCCGCTCTGGATGGTCGTCGGCGACCTCTAGGACACGGATGGGAGACGAGCGTCGCCGGACATGACGGGGTCTGATTGAACGGACATCCATGGGTGGAGACGGGGTTCTGCCTCCGCGTCTGGAGATGGATTGACGCCGCTCAACAGTCAGAGGAGTGTCTTTGGCTCCCACGATGACGGTCTCCTTCTCCTTGCTTCTCCGTGGAAGAGCTATATGCAACAGATTAGTTTCTGTTATATGTTATATTTTCCCGGAGACATGGGGTCAACATACCGCCTGCTCGTGCTCTCTTGCTGTACTCTACCAACTCATGGATCCGGTCGTCGGTAAGGATCTTGTAGATCAGGATATCCTCCTCCTAGCACGCCGTTAGCTCCAGAAGAGACATGCAGAGTAACAAAGAGCAACAAAAGAGAGAGAGAGAGAGAGAGAGAGAGAATACAACTTACATATTCCTCGTAGTCGTAACCCAGATCCTCGAGCGCAATAGGCGCAACCATATGCTTGGGGATACGGGTGGTCCCCGGCTTGGGGCTCGCCCGTCTCGACTTCGCGCGGGGTGGTGCTGGTGCATCGAGCATGGCTAGGCTGGACGAACGTCTCCCCCGCGGGGTGATGCTTCTGGCCGGCTTTATATCGGGCACGCGAGTCGAGCTGCGCTTCCGCGGGGTGACTGGCGGGCCGTAGTCATCCCTATCGTAACGGCGGTAGTCATGGGAGCGCTTGGAGGCCGCGAGATCGAACCGGTCGAGCGAGGACTGACGACGCAGCAGCGTTGGGCGTCGAAACCCTCGATCGTCACTAGATCGAGCAGGGGATATGTCTGGCCGTCTGCCACCACCGCCGACGCCGCCGCGGTTGCTGTTGCTGCTGATGCTGCTGCTTCTGCCTGGCCGGATGACGGGTACGAGGTGGGTGCTCTGGGTGTCGTTGGCGGCCGGCTGGACGTAGTCCGGGATGCCGCTGAAGAGCGAGCGCTTGTCCCTGCGCACCTCGCGGTCATCCTCGACCATCGTCGCCGTCGCTCTGCGCGGCCGCATCTCCCGGTACGGCTCCTGGCGTGCGTCTCGCTCTTTGGTGAAGCGCTCTGCGTCCCAGCGCTGGCCGCCTGCAGCAGCGTTCCCTGTCGGGCCCGACATGTGGACCAATGCAGTCTGCTGCAGCCGATCAGAGGAACAGTCCTAGGCCCGCGAGTGGCTCAGGCGAAGGGGAGTTGTAGATAGCTCTCTGCTGTCCCGCGAACGGCGAGCGAGCCTGCTGGCTCGAGTAAACAGTCTAAAACGGTGGTACGGCTCGTTCCGTGATGCTTTTTGGGGTTTGTCTGGTAGCTTTCTGGGCCTCCCCGTGGATGGATCAAGCGGTAGTCTCTGGAGGTCAGCGGTCGACCACGCCCTGGGTACGCAGATGATCGTGATGAAGTTGCCCGCGGGTGCTGGAGAGAAGGATGAAGAGGAGGAGGATGAAGAGGAGGAGGAGGAGGACGCTGCTGGAGCAGAGGAAGAAGTAGAAAAAGTGGCGACAGCCTTGTTTCCCGTCGCTTATGATGGCATCCAAAAGTCAAAACATCTCAGCTCGGCTAGCAGCAACTCAAGGAAGAGGAAGAAGATAGTGATGATAGTTGATGATAGTAACTGTTAGAGCAGCTGCCCGGCCTGTCCGTCTCGTCCAGCGGCCTCTTCCTCAAGCCCGCGATGCCAGCAGCAGTATATATAGCCAGCGGCATCGACGACCGCGCCAGCCAGCTTCAGCCCGCGCCAGCCAATCCCTTAACCCTTGCAGACAGACGGGAGAAGCAGCAGCAGCAGCAGCGCAAAAAAGCAAAGAAGAAGCAGACGAGAAGAAGAAAAGAAGACGCACGAGAAGAAAAACCTCCTTCTAACCGCCGGCCAAGCACCAGAAGTTTGGTTTCAGCTTTAAAAAGACCGCTGAGACGGGCTTCTGGCGGCCAAATTTCATGCCTTGTGCATATATCCTACGGCGTCTCCTGGCCCCCCAGACCAAAGCTGCCCCCAGCGACTGGCAGCCAATTGATTCTTTATTTCTGCAGGCCTTTCAGACAGAAAGGGGGCTCCCCTTTGCCCCTTGTTCTGCTGTTTGAGTTGCCAATAATAGCTTTGTCGGTGTCAAACAATCCACTGCTACTTCCATACAACTAGTTACCATATGATGATCCGCGGGACTGTGATCTGCTCTGATTTGATTCTTTCAACACGTCTGCTCTTCGCGCCCGGCAGATGGACAGGTGGATGATCTTCTGGCCCGGCATTGGCCCTGCTCGCTGCTCCGGCCGGGCTGGTTGGCTGGTTGGCCGGGTTGGGCATGCATAGGTAGCAGAGCGAGCGCCTGTTGCTCCCCATCTTGCCCGGGTTAGGAAGAAAGACCCTCCCCCCTGAGAGATAGCTGGTCGCTGGGGAGAGGTTGCCACCAGCAGAACCACTGCCAGCCACCTCCAACCACCCGTAGCTACCGCCCAGGGAGCGTGCCTGTTGGTGCCTTTGCCCGGATCGAGCCGCGTGGTGGTCTTCCCTTTGGGCCGAAAGATAGAGGGAGAGCTTGTGGATGAGGTCATACCCACAGCTAACTATACAGTACCGGCCAGCTTACGGAGTTATCAGCAGCGTTATAATTTAGTCGGTGATGCCCCGGAAATATGCCCAAAAGGACACCAAAGCAGTATGGCTCAGCGGAGAGTCTTCTTCTTCTTCTTCTTCATCATCATCATCCATAAAACGGTATTTTTGTTCTAGAATACAGCAGTGGGGATAAGATATATCTCTTTTTTTTGTGAAACTTCCAATTTACTACAGCAACCCAAGGCCCAGTCCTGCAACAAGGGCACATCCCAGCCCAGAGATGTCCAAGATGCTGCCATTCCTCCACGTCGGTGCATCACTCTTCGACACCTTTATAGACACTGGTGGTTTGGCTGTGCAGATGGGCTTCTTGGCCACCGTCTGCGTAGCTGCTGCACCGCCAAAGTCACAGGCAGTGCGCCCGTTCCCCTTTTTGACCTGGTCCTCATAGTACGTGTTGAAGGCCCAGGACAGCTGATCTATCGGGCTGCACATTCCGTACATTCCATAGACACCGCCCGTTGCGTTGGAGGCGATTCCTTCACAGGCCATGGGCGAGAGACCACACACCGTTGAAAACAGTCGGGACAGGTCTTCGTCTGGGACGGTAGGCTTCGCTCTGCAGGTGATAGACCTCGTCATGCAATCGCAGAGCTCCTTGTCCGGCGTTGGGGGCAGCTTTCGTGATGCTTGCCAGTCGCTGCTTATGGTAGGGCAGGGGGCATTTGCCGTGTTCACCGGTGTGTAAGCAGCCATTTTTGGCCCCTTTGGGTTCACCTTGGCCATCTGGTTTGCGAATGCAGTAAAATCGGGCAGCTTCTTGATCCTGGAACCAGATACATCGACAAGTCCTGCATGCAACACACTTAGTAAGACGGTCACTTTTCTACTTTGTCTTGCACCAAACGAGGTTGCTTACCATAATTGTTCTGTTCCTGGAAGTACATATAGACGATCCCACCAGACCAGGTGCCCGTCATCTGGGGGCCGTAAATCGCCTGCACCTCACTAAACTTCCGGGGCTGAACAGTATTGCATCCATATTCGGCGAAGAACACCGGAACATTATATTTAGCAAACTCCCGAGTGCGGGCTGCATATCCAGACGTCTCAAAGGTAGAGTCACCACACCACTCGTAGATGTTATAGCCCCAAAAGTCAATACGCTCGTCACCTATGCCGCAGTCAAAGTACGCAGCAAGGTTCTTGCGGATATCTGCATCGTCATCAGTCGCATACCCAATACCCATCGGTCGATATCCCTTTTCGTAGATGTAAGCCTTCATGTCTCGCACTGCAGCCTTCACAAAAGCACTGGCCTCCGTGGTGGAGAGGCTATTAGTAACTTCATTCCCGGCGAAAAACCCAATGACATTCGTATATTTCGCTAGCGAGTCAATCACGGAGGTGTATCGGTCATAGAGCTTGACGTCCCATTCCGGGGTGTCACGGTTGATTGACTGGGAAGGTTCGGCCAGGTCGGCCAGAACGTAGATGCCGGCATCCGCAAGTAGTTGCATGCATTCATCATGGTTCTTTTCAGGATGGACGGCATATACCCGGACTACGTTGGCATGCAGCTCCTTAAGGAGAGGGACATCTCTCCTGCATCCCTTGGGGTTTGCAAGGGGGTCATTGTATGTTTCGACGGAGTTATCACCATCTATCAGGTATATCAGCAGTAATTCGCACACACGTCAGCTCACACGGCCCGTCTATCAAGCATAGATAAGTACCTTGATACGCCACTCCTTTAATAAAGCTACCTCAGTAGTCAGCTATAGGGGTATAATAATATGGTAGCTTGGGGGTCGTGGAGACGCACAACTGCTGACCACTGGTCTTGTAGAAGAACCGAGATCCCTTTTTTTGTTGTACGATATCAGCGTCTGTTAACCATCTTGGCTGGGGTAAGAGAACCTACTTTGATCACGATGGGGTCAAGCTCCGCTGCGGTAACAAGGAGGGCCCAATAAGCTGCTAGCGCAATGGATAGAATGGTCTTTAAGGGTCCCATAATGGATACCGAATATCGTTTTCCAAGAAATGATATCCAATGTCATATACAAATTCCCTCAGGGAAAAAAAAGGGGGAGCTCGTCAGACGAATGTTTGATAGACAGACAATTTATCGATAAAACCAACATTTTGCGATTCACACTGATAGACAAAAAAATAATAATTGATATATTGACTGTACTACACATAGCAAGAGCGACCAGGAAAGATAGCCTTCCCTTTTCAAGTCTGTTTATATCAACAGGTTGCCATGGTAAACACTCAAAACACCATCATGACTTCCTCTCCTGATATTTCATCATTCTTGGGTATAAAGTCGTCCTTCCATGGATGGATGTCGAGATACCACGGAGTACGTACTCCGAGACGGAAAGTCTCGACGATAGCTGAGCAGGGAAGCCCATGCTTCTGTAGAAGGATCCAAAGCTATGAATCCACAGAGGATGCTGAACAGCCCGTCGTTCGATGGTGAACTAGGCCAGCGGTGATGGAGCAAAGGTGGCACTCACACAAGGCCAGGCCATGAAGATATATGCCGGGCACGTCTCCCAAGGGGACGCCCAAGAGAACGCCCAATATCGCCTATTCCTAATGCCCGAAGCTCTTTGCTGTCTGACAGTGTTTGATATCGGCGGCTTTCGTGCCCAACGCCTGCCAGGCTGAAAGGAGGGTGACCAGCCAACCTCGGCAAATGGATGGAACCGTATTATGTAATATTGCCAAGAAGGAAACGACAAAAGAGGAAGGTGAAAACCCCCACATCCTGTGGTCATGTGCATGTGACTTCCCCGTCTTGGCGTAGGATTATGTATTATGTAATGTGACCCCCGCGCGGTCCCCCCAAAAGTGGAAGGACATTGTATTACTAATCAACATCAGCCTCGCCCTGGGGATATCAACATCAAACGTCAACTTCACCAGCCCTGCAGGGGGGGGGGGTTTATGAAAGGTACAGAAGGCGTTGAATAACTGGCTATATATTGTACCTCTGGATAGTTATTCCAGTTTTTCTCTACCGTGTATCCCCTGCCCTTGATTATTCCAGAATACACTGTGCTACCACTACACTCTATACCATTGTCTGCTGTTGGCAATTGATCACCACATCGATAGAGATCATTACCTACATATCTTTGATTTGATACCCAGTATACCTCGTACAAAATGGCAGAGCAACAGGTTACATGGATTGGATTGGGAAACATGGGAAGGGTACGGCAGTTTTTCTTTTTTGCTCTTGCAAGTGTCTTGTCCAGAAATACATATCTATACCTATCCATTCCTTTTCGCCCTTCTCCAGTTTTGCTATATGAATGCATTACGTTTATCAAACGTGGATGCCTGTTATCATATCTTCAGGGAGCAAAAGTGCTCGCATACCACGATGCTGGGCTGGGCGACCGTCTGACCTGCCTATGGTCCCTTATAGGCGACCTTAGCCTTTGTTCCAGCATCTCAGGAAGGGCGCGTGGCGCAGCGGTGAATGTCTGCGGAATTTGTCAAAGCCCCACGCACATGGCCCCTAAGTGTAGTGCCGACGGAGTGCCATGGATATCCTACGCCTTGAGAGCCGCTGCGGACTTGCGTCGCGTAGATTGTGACCATTGATGACGGAGTGTGGGACCACCTAAGCGCACAGCTTGATAGGCCAGCTCTTATAGATCGTCATAGCAGCGATAGCATGCGTAATGAGGAGTGAGCACTGTGCCCGTTCACTTCGAACCCTTTTATTTTTTTTTTTTTTTTTTTTTTTTTTTTTTT